GTTGCGCGAGGATGCTTTCCAGTCTACTACTACATATTACCACCTTCCTCACCTCAATTGGTCTAGGTGAGTCTACCTGGATCACCTTCCAGTTTCCAGGTGAGTTAAATGATTGGGCTTCCTGTACATCGTAGACTCCTGGGACTACTAACACGTGCAGTTAGAGTGTATTCATTGGTTATATTAGTTACCCATCAATCTAAGCATCCAAGGTCATAGGATATTGATGACCCTATTGCTAGAGTTCAGGGTGAGTATTGTAATTCTGTAATACCATTCTATCTTTTCTGATACCGTGGGAGTGAACTATTAAAGATCTTAAAAAAAAATAATTGGCAATTATACGGAACTATTGAATTTTTTATCCCATTGTAGTATAATTTCTTTTAATATATATACAAAGAGGTATAAATCTTTGTATATATATTGCTTACTGTTATCTCTATTTTTCCCTCGCCTCTCGATCGACACCATGCCTAACCCTTCTAGGGTAGGGTAGGTGCCAGAGCCCGAGCCTTTAGCTCATAAGACTGTCATTCCCATTTGTCCCCTTGGGGCGGGGATGGTAGACCAGAGAGGCCTAGCTTGTGGCTAGGCCTGGGGACAGTTGGTCCCAAAGATGAGGAGGCACTTGTGCCTCCTTCCATGGGAGACTTAGGTCTCAGACACTCCCTAAAGAGGGAGCCAAGGCCGGGCCACCACTTGGACAAGGCCCGGGCCGGGAGAATACCCGCTAATCTTTAACTAACTAACTAACCTCGCCCCTCGTGGGCCCTTACCTTCGAGTCCCTGCTAGTTCTAGTTCTGTATTTTAGGGATTAAAGTATTATTGACTGGTATTGTAGAGGTGAAATATTGTCTTAATTTGTAATCATTAGACTTTGAACCTAATAAAGCAAATTAGTACTGAACATTTTGTGTATTGGTAGGAGTTTTGAGTGATCTTTCCTATATTTGTCGCGAGTATTATACTTTTATGTAATATACAGGCAGTTCACCTGTACCTTAAATAAGCCTTCTCACAACCGAAGGACCCGGGTTCGGTTCCGAGCAAGTAGATATAAACGGGCAGGTCTCATTACATCTGTTGCCCATGCTCACCTACTAGTAAATAGGTACCTGGGTTTTAGACTATTGTGGATGGCATTCCTGGGAAGGAGAGGTGGGGGGGGGGTTATAGAACAACCTGACCTGACTTGAATCAGTATATCACCTAGGCTACGAGGGTCCATTGTGATTTGTGAAACCAAGAATCAGAACGTGATTATGACTTACCGTGCGTACATGGAATACAAACATGATTAGCTGACTATTGTACTGTTCCCTCCGTGGGTGTTTTCTGTGCTTGCTTAATAACAATATCTATATTCCTACCAGTACATGTACAAGGTATACAGACCATAACTGACATCAGTGACATACTACTATATAGAAAGTCACTTGTTATGCTGAGCATTTCCCGCAAATTAGTCGGTTTTGTCCCAGGATGCGACCCACACCATCCACTAACACCCAGGTACCCATTTTACTGATGGGTGAACGGGGACAGCCATGTATTTCTGTATTTATTGGTACTGTAGTATGTTCTAATTGGTTAAATTTTTCTTATAGACGACCATATAACTTAACGAAACCTAACGTAACTTAACCTAAATAACTAATGTCGAGAAAATAGCAACTTGGATGACAGCCAATAAACTTACGTTAACACTGACAAAACCTACTATAATATGTTGGTAGCAGAGAGGAGATGCACAAAATTAACATTAAGATTGACAACACTTCTATTACCAGAAATAATGGGGGACAAATTCCTAGGGCCTTATACTTGAAAAACCTTGAAATTTCAGCACCCATATCCAGCCATATAACCAAAAAAGTATCCAAATCGGTTGGGATCCTCTCCAAGATATGATACTACGTGCCGCAAAAAATGCCCTTCTCACTCACTTACCACTCATTTATCCATACCTCAACCTATGCTATTTGTGCTTGGGGATCAACTGCAGAAACACACTCAAAGCCAATAATAACCCAACAAAAAGCTGCAGTAAGAAATATTCACTAATCCCATCCCTGGCAACACACCCCCCACTCTTCATAGACACTAATCTTATCCCTGTTCAGTACATCCACACTTTACTACTGTGCAATCTACATCTACAGGCCTTAAAAACTCTAATATCAACTTCGACCTAATACGCTTTCTTGATAGTTGTGACAGAACCACAGGCCATACACTCCAGACACAATACATCTCTCACGACATTCACGTGTCCGACTAAACCTTTTACAAAAATTCAATGTAATGGTAAAGGCCCTAAAATCTGGAATACCCTACCTGAGAATCTAGAAATGCAGAACATTCATCACCTTCAAAACTACCATTAGAAAACATCTTATCTCCCTGATACACCTGTCAACTAACTACACGAAATACCACCTGGTCGGTTCACACTTACATTACTGGACCATTTGACATAAAACAGAAAATATTAATCTCATATCTTATATAATGAAAATCCTGTGATACTCAAATACTGAAACTCATGTACTGTGCCAAAACAAAAGCACTTACATTGCTAAACTCAAACTAGTATTTAGTCACTTAGCCATAATACCAGCTTACCTCCTAATTTGTAATATTTTACAATTAAGAATAAAACTAAGTCTGCCCGAAACGCCCCTAGCCATGCTAAGCGTTCTAGTGTACACTCTGTTAATCACTATTTTATTTCATGTTAAACCACACAATAACCAAATTTCTGTAAACTCAGCATTGTAATCCTTATAGAGAATAAACTTTGAATTTGAATTTGATGCGATCGATACAATGTTATGGTCCTTGAAGGTGAGATCCTCCGACATGATCACTCCCAGGTCTTTGACGTTGGTGTTTCGCTCTATTTTGTGGCCCCAGACAGACAGAATTAGAAGAATTTGTTTTGTACTCTGATGAAGATTTAATTTCCTCATGTTTACCATATCTGAGTAATTGAAATTTCTCATCGTTGAACTTCATATTGTTTTCTGCAGCCCACTGAAAGATTTGGTTGATGTCCGCCTGGAGCCTTGCAGTGTCTGCAATGGAAGACACTGTCATGCAGATTCGGGTGTCATCTGCAAAGGAAGACACGGTGCTGTGGCTGACATCCTTGTCTATGTCAGATATGAGGATGAGGAACAAGATGGCGCGGCGGTACTAGTGCCTTGTGGAACAGAGCTTTTCACCGTGCCTGCCTCGGACTTTCTCTGTTGACTACTACTCTCTTGTCGTTCAGTTAGTGAAGGATATTATAGATCTATCGACCCCGACTTTTCCTGTTTATTCCTTTAGCACGGCATTTTGTGCGCTAAGTACGCCCATGGTACACTTGTCGAAGCTTCTTGCAAAGTCTGAATATATACATCTGCATTCTTTTGTCTTCTAGTGCACTAGGACCTTTGTCGTAGTGATCCAATAGTTGGGACAGGACAGGAGCGTCCTGTTCTAACCCTGTTGCCTGGGTTCTGTGTAAACTGATGGGGTTCTAGATGGGTGGTGAATGATCTTGATCTTAGGACTCTTTCAAAGATTTTTATGATATGGGATGTAGTGTTATCGGTCTGTGCTACTTTGCTTGTTGCTTTACTGCCCCCTTTGTGGGAGTGGGGCTATGTCTGTGCTTTTAGTTAACTGTGGGACGACCCCGTGTCCATGCTTCCTCTTCCATAGGATGGAAAAGGCTCGTGATAGGGGCTTCTTGCAGTTTCTTGATGAACACGGAGTTCCAAGAAGAGTTGGCCCTGGGGCAGAGTCAGAGTGCATTGGAGCATGTCATTTATCGCCTTGATTCGAAGTCAATTGCGTCACGGATAACAATCACATAGGCTTGTTGTTAACAAAATTCTGTGGCTCTCATAAAAAATCATTTTGATTCTTCGACTCTGCTCTGGTTAGCGGCTTGCTAAAAACTGGTCATATTGGGACCTTGAGTAGCTCACTCTCAAGATTCTCCTATGCCTTACAAGTCATACTAGTGTAAGCGGACCTCTCATCTCATTGTTTGTAAGTTAGGAAGGCCACAATACTGGACCCGTATGGGTCTCTTCGATACTTCAGTATTTGGCCATCCAGGAAAAGAATCGCATAGACACTTTGGGATTTCTTTTTCCCGATGTCACTTCTATGGCTTTTTGTTTGTCCACCATCTCACGTTGAGACCATGGCACTCATCCGTTATGATTCCCTCTTTGACTTTTAAGAAGTTTAGATTGTTTAGCTTTTCTACCCCCACTCCCACCATCCTGACACAAGTGAAATCACAAATACGCATGTTCAGCATTTAATTGGACCTCCATTAGACGCTATGTTATATTCTTCTTCTCGTCGACCCTGGATAGAGCGATCTCGAGCCCTGATCTGTCTTTCTATTTTACATATAATCTTCCTATTTTCTTAAAAGCATAAAGCCTTGTGCATACATATGGGAGTAATCCAATGTGTGATGGGATTCCTGCAATTGTACATTAATTCCTTTGTCCCTATAATTTTTGAGTATCTATATCTCTGGCTTCTCCATTGAGCATGTTGTTGGAGTCATTATATGAGTCAGAAAGAGCCTTCAAATGATACATCAGATACTCAGTTAATGATGAACAGAGTCACAGCTCAGTGTCAATAGTTAGCTTTAGCGCCATTAGGAATTGCAAAACAATAATCAGTTTGCAGGGTAGCGCCCAGTTGTTAATTTTATGCATAACTCAACAAATCTATTATGCGTACACTTTCTCTAAATGGGACCGTGGTGGCAACAAGAGCAGATGCAGCCATGCCAGAAACTCCTGTTTAGATCCATCAGTGTATATAACTTGTGATAACTTATTTTTTTTTTTTTTTTTATATTTTATTTAAAACTCAGGTACCAAAAAACTATATGGTTACATAATCAATAAGGTAGAACAAGATACAGGACAGTGACAATAAATCAACTGAATTACACAGTTTATGAAGAGCACGTATATAATGACAGAACTGGCCTGCTGCGTCTCAAAAATCAAACACCGCTTGTTACGTACTGTGCTTC